TAGATTTAGTTATAGATTTTTAATAAATATAAATTTGATAAACCCATATTATATTAGATCGCAGACTGAACAACACTATATATAAAATTATTCAAATGTAAAAGTATACAACATTTAAAACGATTATATAAAAGTCAATAATTTGTTTTATTATTTAGCAGAAGCAGAATATAGTATTACTTAGCACAATATGCATTAATGATTTCATCATCAAAGAAATATAATATTATGGCACTGAATTTAGATATCTCATATTTAACAGTCTTTAATGTATAATACGATGTAATGCAAGCAATCGAATTCTCTCTAATATTTTTATAGGTTGCCATTAAAATATGGCGAGGGTATAGTCAAGGAAGACGTAACGCTTGTCGAATGAACGTATAAAAGAACGTACGAAATAAAAGGAAAAATACAAACAGCTGCACATCCAATTTATCATATATTCTAATATTCATGTAATGTATATAGTTCGCTTTGAAATAAGAAAAGAATAGCATTCTTTCTCTTGACATACGTAGAAACTAAAGTTCATTAATACGAAACCGAGAGGATGAAAGTTCTTACCTATCATTAAGTTGGTCGTCGGTTCCCGGTAAAGGATGTACAACGAAGTGGATTGAAGTCATACTGCTTTCAATTCATATGTATTTAACGTCGGATCGTTCCCTCAGCGTACATAAAATTTTACTGAACCACAGTATATTTCAGCCATGTTTTTGATGAAACATCCACTTATATATTCAGATGCAAACATGGCGTACAGTTTTCCGTGTTCATAAATATATCACATTTAACGTAGAATGTGTTCCAAAACACACTCCAAAGCCACATTTAAGGGCATAATCACAATATCATAAACACAGAGCTGGGTTCAGAAACACTGGACTAGTTTCCATCGATGTCTTAAGGGTGCCATCACATGCGGCGTACTTGCGTAATCTGCGTATTCTAGCATTTTACTAAAACACGTTATACCATTCTGAAAGCGTCTTCTTTCACATAAAGCATATTTCGCGGAATTTCGAGAAATGCGCAATTAATACAACCGTAATTAATGCAATTGCTGATTAGGGTTTCTGTTGTACTCTCTAATAGAAATGCTAAACTAATTTGTGATTGGTCTTTGTAACCTGCGTATCTGGAAAAGTACGCTTCATGGGGAACCGAGACTTTATGTACGGCACCCTAATTTGCTCCTAATAGACGTAGAATCAGATTTGAGTCGATAGAAATGCGACAAATTGCGCTCATTTCAATTCCGCTTCGATCCACAAATCTTTATTCTGATGGAAACAGCATATTAAATTTGATCCATATCAAAGTAGAATCGAATTGAAGACTTCGATGGAAATTAGACCCATGTGGCCAGTATTCATAGAACTCAAGTTTAAGTTAAACCTGAGACACAATGAAAAGGTACAGAAAACAGGAAACAGAGAATAGCAACAGGCAACAGATTTCGACCAATCAGAAGCTGTGAAGAATATCAGAGATATTTCTGATTGATCGAAATCTGTTGACTGTTTTTTATTGTGCATCCAGCTTTAGTTTCATTAGGATTAAAAAATATGATAGACATAATCACTAAAGGCTCTCCCACACTGAACGCGACGAGCGATGAACGCTATCCAATGAAAGCTTTGCTTTTTCAAATGTCCATCCGTGACTGATAGTATTAAATTGACCAATAATTTATTTTAACAATTTCATATATTAAAAAATATTAAAAGCACGGATGTTAGTGTTGTCAATACTCAAAATAAATAATTAATTACTGACACTTTATATATCTGAAGAATGCAATATATTTTAATAGTTTTATATAAAAACAAAAATTTTCATATTGCAGCCACATCTTATATTTACACACACAACACACACACACACAGACACACACACACACACAAAATACTGTATTATCTATAATTAATATTAATATAACTATGAAATTTTTTCACATCCATCGCAAATGCGCAATGCCAAATATATTTACTTCGTTACGCGTAAACTTAGCGAGATACTAGTGTGTCTCTCGATACTTCTAATTTGATTGAAGTGTTGACATATTGATTTTACTCATCAATAAAATGAAGTTTCACAGTTTTCATAATGTTTATTACAAAAAGCATATATTGTATATCATACTTATGATTAAAATGAAGACATTTAGCACATTTATATTTGCACTGCTTTCACATACTACATTTTCATAAGAAATGGTATATTTGATCATGTGAGGGAATTTGCATACTTGTGCATCTAAAAAAATACAGGCATGTTAGAAAATATAAGAAAAGATTTCGAACATTTATAAGAACATTTCGATTAGATAACATTTATCGTAAAAATATATGTATATTCAAAAAAGATTATTAAATTGTTACGATTGTATATTCTAATATAAATTATTTTACAACTTTCTTTGTACTTACCCGTGCACTGATAACTAATTACTGAAGAATTGGCAATTATTGATAAGTATAATGGTTGGCAAAGATGTATCAAACCAGCATCACCGCAAGAGACCGAAATGGTATGCACATCATTATTTATTGATACGCACGATTCACCCATACCTTCTGATGTATTAAAAGTTATGAAATGTCGTGATGTGCATACTTTCAAGTTACCCCAACCAAATCCTTGAATCTGGTAAATATTTATTTATATGTTTAAAAAGAAAACACATATTTAATTATAATTATATTCTTTCTGTAAAAAATGTTACCTTTATCTTTGAAACATGATCGCTATTAGTGGAGAAGAAATAATTAGGATGCAATCTGTAAGAAACAATCGTAGCTGGTTCAATGTAATCGATAAATGAATTGGTAGATCCAACAGGTGAATAATCGGCACCACATTGCGTATTGATCAAACGCTGTGGAACTGTAAGAATATAGTAAATTGTGTAATAGAATTATATGAAAATTAAAAAAAATAATATAAAACTATATATCAATTGATCTTTTACGTCTACCTTTCTTTATTCTCGAAATTAATTTAGCAATTGATGCTGAACTTCCTATCTCGTCCGTAACAGTGGTAGAAAACAAGTCATCCAATGCGTTATATACAAGCTCTGACCATCTATCTTTTAATCCATAAGTCAATATAAGCAATGTAGCATCTGTAATACAATCAACACTTATTGAATATAACAAGCTTACATTCATATAATCTATTATCTATTAAATAAATTTGCATTATTATCGAAGATTATAAAATACTGCTGAATTAACAAGCCAATATAATAACTTGATTCAGTTTTTATAAAAAGCAATTTAAAATTTACCTGGTACTTGCTCTCGCATCTTTTTGATTAATTCTATACAATATTCCTTATCAGAGTTTGTAAGATAGGATGTATATGGAACAATTAACACTACATCAGATTTTGCATGCCCTAAACCATGACGTTCGTTATTCAATTTGTTTCTTTGCAAAGTACTTAATTTTTCAAGTGATTTGGGAAGATCAAAACCAAGAGTAACTGAAAAAAAAAGTTATTTTTAATTTGAATTGCTCATACGAAATAATCATATTTAAAATATAATGTGCAAATATACCATTCATGTAATTCGTGAAATTATAATAACCAAAATGTAAAATACTGTTGGTAGTATTAATCATGATATTGCCATCATAGCCATTTATAATTGTAAACTGACTATTGTATCGATTTATCTTGATACCATCCAATATATTTCTATTAAAAGAAAAATAATATATATATTTTTTTGTGCATTGTAATTAACTTTAAAATAGCTTATGTTTACATATAAATTTTATTCTTACGCAAGAATTGATTGTATTGCATCAAAAGGCCATGTTGTATCAATAATAATTGTTAGATCAATAGCAACTTGAACAATATCATCAAAATTTCCTGCTTCTATATCTTGACAGGATAAATCTTTATTCATAGTAGAATCTGAAAGTAATATTTTACAATTCATATTTTATTCCATTCCATTCCAAAATATTTTATTTCGCTAATTAAATGCTAATACACTCACCAACATAATTTGACAACTCATTCGCCGCTTGCGATGCAAATTTCTCAATTACATTGTCATCCATTGTAGCTCTATGTATATATTCTTCCAAGATTAGCGAGGCACTATATGCCTAAACGAATAAAATATAAAGATCATAACGGAATAGATATGTAAAATCTGCCTCTGCACAATCGAGCTTAAATTGATGTCATTAGTTAGCATTCTTGGGATGTAAAACTTTCCCAAAAATTAACCTTGAAATTGCATTTTTGGGGGAATTATAATGGGAAAAAGCGAAATAAAAAAAGTAATTTTTCTCAAAAACGACTGGATCGATTTTTAGAATTAATTAAGAGTATCATTACAATATTACCTGTTCAGCCATTGTTGAGTTTGATGCAATTGTCCGGAATAGTATTCTCCGATTACATGCTCTAATCCAAGGATCAAACAATCCACGAGGACTATAATACAAGTCTAGAATCTGTGACAATCTTAAAGTAGGTATGTTTGTATATAAGGATTCTATTTTGCCAGCAATGATTAATCCATCGAGATCTCCTCTGATCTCTGCCGCAGTAAATTGTAATTTTTCATTGTTTTTCAGGAAATACCAACGTGGCATAGCTGACGAATTCCATGTTCCGTTTACACCTATACTAAACTTCTCATTTGTAGGGCCTTGTATTAAGGTAACTTCAGCTAAATCACCTACAAACAATTATATAATTTATTTTTATAAATCTCTTTACGTACAACACATACATATATACTAATAAATGCTTTCAATGATCAAAAGTTAAAGTCTAAATCTTACAAAGTACATGAACAAATTAAGCTTTTAATTGAATTTAATACTATTTTCCTAATTTAATCTTCTTGTAAATTTTTACGTCATACTGGAAAAGACGAATATTACCAGCCACAGTTGCCATCCATTTATTATCTAAGGATAATCTTGAAAGATTTGCTTTTCTATCTGGTGTTTCATTAGGAAACAATTCCGAGAGTTTTACTGTTTCGGGTTTTAGACCAGCAGCTATACCAGCGATTAGCGGTCCAGCAGAAACTGAACCCCAGCTATAAATATATATTAAGATATTGTTAGTAAATAAAAAATCGTAAAGTAAAATTATTCTAAATGTGTGTGTGTGTGTGTGTGTGTGTGTGTGTGTGTGTGCGCGCGCGCGCGGTGTGCGTATGAGCGTCGTAGTGTGTGTATATAATAAAAAGG